TAAGCTAATTTGTTAGGAGAGGGTGGGATTGAAATACATGGAACAAAGTAGAAAGCCCGTAGAGAATAAGTGACTTTAAAAGTTTGAGCAAAATATTTATTGTAATCTCTATACATTATAAATTATAGATATTGGGTTCTTTTCATTTTCAAAACTAAAAGAAAAATTAATTTTGATCTCAAACTTTATTTTTTTTATTTTTAGCCTATGGTGTGAGAGAGGTGAGAGAAAGTTATCTAAATCTGGTACTAGAGAAGAAAAAATTTCTATTAACACCGATTTTTGGTTACCAAAACAGATGAAATTGGTGTCAAATTTTTTTACAAGAGAAGCTTATATTTGGAGTTTTTTTATCTTGAAATTGCCAAGAAAAGCATATTTGATCTTGATAAAACTTTTGGTTTCAAGTTTTGAGATATTTTTCTTAGTTTTTTCAAACCATGAATGAGTTTATTAAGTTGTATATAATGTTTTAAATGTGTTTTGGATAAAAAAAAAAAAAAGGTTGAAAAATTGATTTTTAGATCGAAAAAACTATAAGCCCCGTTACTAGGCAATACAAAAAACACATCGTATGACTTTTTTTTTCCAAAAAAAATAGGGTAAACGTCATGTTGTCTATCTCAGAGTCAAAAATAAAAAAGGAACCTGTCAAAATGATGAAACCTCCCTTTTCAAACCCTTTCAATTCCAAAAAATAGTTTTGTCATTCAACGTCATGCACATCACGACATATATTAATAAATTCACTTATATATAACTAATATCCCCACAAATACAACAGTTTGATGCTAATGGGACATCACCCTAGACATAAAGCATAAGCCCCCATATACATGTACTAGTTATTTGATCTCACTAAATAGGAACTCATTTATCCTTACATACGAGCTCTAAATCTTTCATAGATATAGGAACTTTGAATTTCCTAGCTAGGGCATTGAACCCAAACACTGACATAACAACATTTAAAAGAACATCATTTTTCATAAATGAAAAGAGCTAGTAAATAATAATATTAATAATTGTGCAAAACAAAATAAAATAAACATGATTTAGGCAAAAAAAAATAATTACATATCAACAAGACCCCAATTGGGCAAGGTTAAAATTATGAAATAAGAAATTAAACTATATAACTCTTTTTCTCAATTGGGCAAGGTTAAAATTATGAAATAAAAAATTAAACTATATAACTCTTTTTATTCTTGAGAAGCCTTATCCACTCGATTTTCTCTAGTTATCTCTAAGTTAAAGTCTCTTCCTCAAATATTAATAATAATAGTATTAGATATAAACTCCTAGATGTGGCTTGCTTTACAAAGGCCTCCATAATAATTTTTACCTTTTTTAGTGGATGCCCTATTTTCTTCATAGATATCTCCACAATAACCACCTCCACCTCATATAAGGGATGTTCTCTTTGTTTCATTAATGGCTTTATCATCATTTCTATCTACTATATGATGTGCTCTCTAGATCAATTTGTTTTTATAGCTTCCTCATCATTTTCGAGCTTTTTAACTAAATATTCACCTCGAGCAGCTATACTAGCACGCTTCAGAAAAACTTTCTTAAAATATAAAATAGTTAATGAGTGAAAAAACTTATGAAAAGACAACACTAACCCCTTAAAACAATTTAATGAAATGAAAGTCAATCACCAAGTATTTTCTCTTATCATTAAGCTAGTTAGTATGGACTGCTTTGAAAGCTATAGTTTTCACCTCTTTTAGAGTTGCTTTCCTTACTCCACAAAGACCTCCATAATATCATTTTCACCTCTTCTAAGAGATATCTCTACTAGTGATTTCATCACCTCTTCAACCTCCTTTTATGAAGTGCTCTCCATGTCCATCTTTTTATCAATATTCTCATCCTTTTAGAACTCCCAAGCCAAATATTCACCTTAAATAAGTGGCTACACATACACACCTTAAAAATCTTCCCTAAAGTTCAGGGTAGTTGATAAGAAAAGAATCTATGAAAAATATATATTATCTACTTGAGATAAGTTAAGAAAATGAAGGTTTATTGTTATACAAGTTTCTTCTCCAATACAATAAACAAAGTAAGAGTTTTTTATACATGAATAAGATCCTTTTAAGAGAATTCTTAAGAGCCTCGTATGGGAGCACTTAACCCGAGCCTTATTAGTGATTATGTAAACTTTATTAACTTTACACCTAACCCTAACTAAGGCTAACTCCATCTCCTTTATTTTTCATTAAAGATTGAATATATATTAGTTGAACTTTCTAATACTCTGTTTCGCTTCCTCAAATTATAGTTCTTAATAATTTTTATGTGTTAAAACCTTCTAACAAATATCCTAAGAGCTATAAAGTTGGTTCTCTAATTGTGTATGTTCTTCTCTCATAGAGAACTAGGAAATTATCCCTAACATTAATGAAAACCCAATTTATTTGTTCATGCTTGGTCTCTAACGACTAGAAATGAGTACATGTATTTAAAGGTTGATAACTATAACCTTGTAAGTAACAAGAAGGTAATGCTTGGAAAAGAACAAAAAGAATGATGCTTATATAAAGTGTCGTCTGCATAGTAAGCTCTATTTAATAAGAGAGGTTGCTTCTATTTCAATGCTCAAAATCATTAGGGATTTGCAAAGATTTCATGAGCATGTTCATTACAAGCATAATGATTTCTCCTCAAAGAAAAACTATATTTAAGTGAGGTTGTTAACGTGCATTTCTCTTTATTACTCTAATCTAATCTAATTTTGTAAGAATCAAATATCCCACCTTATTTTATGATAGATGGGAGCTCAAAGCAACAATTATTTTTTAAAAGTGATTGAGAATCATTATTTTTTTTAAAGTAACATGTGATTGAGAATCATTATTTTTTTTAAAGTAATTGAGAAAGTGTGTGGCTTTTTCATTTGAGGAGTCTTGAAGTGGACTATTATAACATGCTTGGTCTAAAGAAAGAAAGCTCACCACAAAAAAGGCTATAAAGCCTAACATGCATATTGGTTTTTTCTTCTTTTTTTTTTTATTAGAAGGTGGATAATATGAATATTGTTTTTAAAAAAAAAACTTGATGAACAATCAAAGGATGTTGTTGTTTACAACAACCATTTTCATCCACCTGCAATGGTTAAATAGTTGGGTTTCGAGGTATATTAGCCTAAAAAACTCAATATTCCACATATTTTCACTTGAAATACATAAAAAAAAAACTTTATAAACCTTAATAATTGTATTTGTAAGGTCAAAACACCAAAAAATAAGTTTAAAAACTCAAAATCTAACCGAATAAAAAAACCTACCTAAGCTTCAATCTATTTTTTTCTAAAAAGATTAAAATTTTAATTCTCTTTTCTAATAATTTAATTCTCTTTTCTAAGGAGAACCCATTAAGAGCATGGTTGATTTTTTTATTTTTTTATTGAATGAAATATTTTTTCTTTTTCTTGTCGACTTTCTCTCTCATCTCTCAAGTCATATGGATTAAAACATAATGAAAATGAAGTTTAGAATTGAAGTCTAAAATCATTTAAATACAAAAACCAAATTGGTAAAAAGAAAAACTTTAGTGACCAAAATTGTTAAAAATCATTGTAGGTATACCCAGTATGCCTAAGTCTAAAGTAACAATGAAACACCGTTTTCATCTAAGCTACTTTTATTTGCAGGAAAGTTGTTTTTTTAGAAAGTGAACTCCGGAGAAAGTGAATTATTTTCTGTTAAGTGAATTCTTGAAAAGTGAATTATTTTCTGTTATTTGGTAGTGTTATGGAAAATGAACTGGAAAATACTTTCCAGTATTTGGTTATGTTATAAAAAATAAACTGAAAAATAACTTATTAATATTTTATTTTTTTCAAGTTTATTAAAATAATATTAAAAATTGAAAAGTTATGTGAAAATAAAATTAATAAAAGATTAATTTTATAAATTATCTCAAATAAAAAAAAATAATAGAGATCAAATCTAACAGATAAAAAGGTTGAAAGATGATGAAATTAAAAAAATACAATTTTATAAATTATTTCAAATAAAATAAATAACAATGAAAATAATAAGGATCAAATCTGATAGATAAATAATTTTAATTAAAAGAATGATAAGAAAAAAGCAAATAAGAATCATAAAAATAAGAATCTAAGTTGATATAAAAATCAAATTAAATCAAATTCTAAGGGATGAAATTAAAAAAAAAATATTCAAAATAAAATATATATAGTAATCAAAAGTTTAAGGATCAAATTAGATATAATCAGTAAATAATGATATTTCTAAATTTTTCATAACTTCCAGAAAATATTTTCCGTCTAAATTTTTTAAGAAAACATTTTCCTGAAAATCAAGCTAAATTTTCTTTTAACTGAAAAGTATTTTTTATTGACCAACGTTATTAATAGCAAACAAATACAAGAAAATTTAAAAATTAATTTTTCAGAAATCACTTTTTGAAAAACAAATATAGCCAAAAAGAAAAACACTTTCCTAAAAACTAAGCTGAATTTTTCTTTAATTGAAAAATATTTTTCATTGACCGGAAAATATTTTTTATTAATCAATTTTTCTAATAACAAACAAATAAAAAAAATTTAATTTTTTTTTTTCAAAACTACTTTCCAGAAAATTAATCATAACCCTAATGTTAACTTTACATTTATAATTAAGATATAAAGAGGAAAACATTTTCCTCCTCGAAACAACACCGAATCTTCGGGCTTCAAAATCACAAGGGATCCTCGGCCTTGAACAAATCATTGACTTACAAGTTTTTGCGAGGTGTTATATTCATACAATAGATTCAATCATCTTCAGTGGTAACCAGTTAATCTCCATCCCAGAAAGCGAAACGATAGTGAATGCTCATCTGAGTTAAAGAGATTAAAAGATCAGCATCCCAGACGTGGGGCATAAAAATTGCTCTAGCAAATTGAAAACCTCACGAAGAAATTTTTCCTTGAAAACCTCACGTGGGGCAAAAACAGGAAATTTGTATTGCTCTCTAACAGCATAGGATGGAACAGTTTCAAACTTCTTCGAGTGACAGTCAAGTATGGATGTTTTCTTAGTGAAAAATTTAAAGATGAAATGATACCTACCGACACCATCAGGGGGGCAAAGCAGGATGCAGTTCCCAAGAAACCCTTTTTCTGGGGGTACATTAGCCATTAAATTATGTAAAATTACAGATTAACTTGGTTATGGGGGAACCACTTTCAAACTACGCATCCACTCACAGAAACTCGGATCATCAAAGTGAATAAAGCTGGATTTTAGCTTCATCCGTTGTTCTATTGTCAGAGATCTAAGCTGCGGGAATCTTGCCTCCTGCAATCAAGTTCCATCAAATTGGCATAAATCCAACACCATAGGCCTACAAATATTATTGATCAAGAGGTTATTTTTCTCTTTTTCCACTCTTACCTGTTCATATGGTGGATCCTTGTGTGCAGGAATCAGCCGAGAAACAAAATATCTAGCTTGAGAGCTCCCCTCCTGTCATTAACCCAAACCAATAAGCTCATCAGTTTGGCCACAAAAAAAAAATTAATATAAGGACAAAGGTGCATAGAAATGGAATGCAAAGAGTCAAGGGAAAAAAACCTTGAATGCAAGGATCCTAGGAGCTGGAAACCGCAATTCAGTGATTTCTTCAGCTAATGTTCTGCAAGCTGCTAAAGCAGCTGCACTTCTTCCTTCATCAGCAGCTAGCTCAGCACCCTGCAGTTGCCAGTTATTGAGAAAGTTTCTTTGTATATCAAGACAGTAAAATGCCAGCCAACTCAGAAAGAAACTCAAGAAAAAGACAAATGGACTCAAACCAACATTAGTTTGATATATGCATGTGAGTGGCAATCAGATAAGAGCTCCCACCAAACCAACACTAGTTTGATATATGCATGTGAGTAGCAATCAGATAAGAGCTCCCAAATGAACATGCAGAAATTGATATTTAAGGAGAAGAGTGACATAACATTAGAGTTACGAGCACCCTTCTAAATGGTGCATTGCATGGTCATATTTGACTTCCACAAGTGGAAGTAGCAATTTCTTAACTTCAATTTCTTACTTCAGAATTAGGAAAAAATGCCTCTGAATTTCTTTTTTGTTTAATCACAAAAAGATTCTTTTTCCCGAAACAATTATAAGCAGGGAAGCAGTAAATGCTTTCCACCTGCTTCTCCTATCAATATTTCTGCCAGGAACCGATATCTTTAAATGTTTTTCCATCACAAGTGTTTGTGTCCACCCTATATCTACAATAAATTCTGGAATTTCCTCAGTCACAAACTTGAACAAAAAAACACCCAGAGTTTTTATCAATTATAGACAAAAGTGATCACAAGCCCATGCAAAGACAGAGACAGCAGATACACCCACAGTTCATGAGAAATACTGGGACAATAAACATACAAAATAGAAAATTCAATAACTTGCAATTTCAGGGAATCACAAAAAGTTAAGTCGCTTACCAACCAAATGAAGACATCTGTACCATGGTCAAGAACAACAGCTGTATCAGACTGCATCGCAAGGTCATAAGCTGGTAGTTCTTCAAAAGTGCCCCCTTCTCGGTGCATTAGACAACGAGGTGCTACCATACGAAGTGAAAGATCAGAAGATGCATTCAAAAACAAATTCCGCAACACAGACCTCTCATCTTCATGACCAACAATGCTTCCCAAAAGAGGGCCCCTTCTAAGATGGAAAAGGAGCTCTGATAATGCAGAAAGTTCTTTAGGAAATTGATGAAGCTTTGACTTGGGAACTAGGGACCCAAATTTCAAAGCAATGTCTTTAATTCTCTCATCTATTGTTCCTCGCATATCCATGGCATCTGAATGGTTTTTGGCTCGCAAGAGGGTTCTCTTGGCCATGAGGATTGCAGCCACTTCATCCTGAACACTTTCAAGATATGCTGAAACACTATCCACAGTTGGCAACCTGACAGTAACCACTCTTGAAATATCAGCTTGATAAACATTAGTGTATTGAACAGCAAACTGGAAAAACACACAATCGCTTATGATGTCTTCTTTAGTTTCCATAGAAAGTGCAAAGCTCTGTGTTTCTTCAACACTTAGCATTTGAATGCAGAGAGCATTGTCGTTCTTAAAAGTTTCATGTGAGTCTACATGTGCCTCTTCACCAGGACCCACAACTTGAGTAATTAGAATATCATCGGAACATCGAATCTCCAACAAGCCATGGAAACGTGATGCCCTAGAAGCTGCCCTTTGCAAATTCACACCAAAGGCCTCTCCAAAGTCATCATGAAGAACCAAAACACCTCCAGAAGCTTTTGCAAGAGGCTGCAGGACTGGAATTCTAACAGGGCAAGTTCCAGCACATAGAATGTCAACTACTGTATTATGTCTATGCGCTTCACGACCCAGATTCTCCATCCATTTCAATGCTGTTTTTTCCATATGAGGATAATTTGGATGGCTAAAAGAATGCGGGACTGATCCAGGGCCATATGTATTTGGTCCCCCAGCACACACGATAATCCTGCTATTACCCCCAGCCCTTTTAATTATGCCTCGAGACATTTCTGCTGATGGTCCTTGAATTATAGCCAGAGCAACCTCAACTGCAGTACCCAGGCACCGGTCTCTTGAAGCTTCTGCAATGTTCAATCCAAATGGTCTCAAAGATGAGAATATTTTGTGTGCCACTTCCTTTGAAGCATGCATCGGTGACAAGTACACCCCAGTTCCATAAATCAATGCTTTCAAGGACTCTCGAGTAGGTGATTTGTCACCAGGAAGTACATCAGCAGATGCCATTGATTCCTCTGAAAAATCATAAACTGATACTGTACGGCCATATAGTATTATTCCAATTCTTGCTGTAGGGGGGAGTGAATCCACAAATGCATGCAAAGAGCTTTGTAAATGCTGCAGGTGGGTTTCATCTAAACACTCATCTATAACAAGAACAGTGGGTGCAGACATTCTGGAATCAGAAACTGGAATAAAACCAGGTCTCTTGTTCCCAGTTTGAACATAATCAACGATGGGTGATGAAAGTTCTGGCAAGTTGCGAAGGTCTTCTTTGCTTGGAGCTACATATTCACCTTCACTTCCATTCAGTTTCTGGCAAATTACACATTGCCACTGGCCTGAACCGAGTAAAATCTTGCAATAAAGATTTGCATAAGCTCCACAACTGCGGCAGCGGTGAGGATCACGCTGTATTATTTGAGGACCAGGAGAAATCTCTCCCCCAGGAGAAAACAATGCCCCAAAGCCCAAACTCGGTACATTTGCTAGTTTTTTCTGCTTCAACACCTGAATAACAAAGTGAGCCAAGTTCAAGCTCAATTAAATCCTGACTTTAATTTATGAAATAATAATTACAAGATTCAAAAATATATAGGTGGGGCCATTAAGGAAGAAATATAATCAGATAATGATATGTTAATTATTAACCAAACAAGGTGTTCTCAAAATCAGAACAACAATCTTATAAAAGAAAAAAAAAAGACAATCAGTGCCTTCTGTTTGAACTAGAGAGCAATAGACATACCTTGCGAGCAGAGAACAAAGCACACGATGATTCCTCAAAAGGTGTGGAGTCATTTGTAGCAAGGGGAACTTGATGCTGCGACTCAATGGAACCATTTGAAAAATGGGGAGGCGAGGATGTTGGTAATGTTGAGCCTGATGAGAAAGCAACTGGTTGAGGAGTTGCAGGCGAAGTCCGAAAAGGCACAGCAGCAGGACGGACTGGTGACGTAAAAACAGGAGGACCAGGAGGGGTGCTTAAATGAGGAACCGGGCTCCCAGTTTTAAACCCATTAGCAGGTGATAACAACTTCGGGTTCTGGAATGAAGGGGAAGGGATCTGATCTTGGTGCAATTTAGGAGGAGGAAATCGGGAAGCTCCAGGTAACATTGTAGGAGGAACAGAATTTTTCTCTGGTTGAGGGGTTGATGGGTTTGAGGGACTAGCAGTAACAGAGTACCCAAGGGAAGGTTGAGGTGGGTTAGCCATTGCAATTCAAGGTTTCTTTATCAAATAATCAATAATAACTAGAAGCAAAAATCAAACTCTGCAAAAAGCTAGAAGCAATTTTATCCCAAAGCCAATTAGGACAAGAGAATTCAAAGTGAAAACTTTGAGACTGTCACTTGATTTATTGGTAGAAAATCAAAAGAAATCATAGATAAAACAGCTTACAAAGGCCCGATACACCGGCAGCTCAAGAATTGCAAACCAATCTTTACTTTGTTGCAGAAGAAGATACAGAATTGGAGGACTTCGACAAACCAAAACTCCCCAATAAAATCTAAAACCCCAGCAACAAGAATGGATTCTGATTCAAACCCAGTTCAAGAAATCCCCAATACAATCAAGAACCCGTCTAAAGAACCAAAATTTACAGCTTCAGAGATCAAATTAAAAGCAAGAAAACCTGATCTCTCTGCGCAATTGGGCACCAAAATCTTCGTGCCGCACAGACACCTGAAAGAACAAAAGAAAAAAGAGACAAGTTTGAATTAAACATTGTGTCAAGAAAAAGGATCTAGGACTCTTCTGCAAAAGCAAAACTTAGTGAAATTGAGACGAGGACAGTAGAAGTGGCGTACCTGAGAGGAAGAGAACGAAAATTGAAAGATTTGCAAAGTAAATCTTTTATTCCTTTTTTAAAATATCAATACAAAAATGGATTATAAATTTTTCTGGATTCTGGTTCCTCTGTCCTCACTAACCAGGAACCTCCCACTCGTCTCTAGTTGTGTTCGGTTTTTTCCGAGAGAGAGAAAGCTACATTAGAAACCAATGGTCCCCATGCGGTAAGGGAAAACTTTGCCATTTTTTTTTATTGTCTCTCTTCAACAGGATGAATCGCGAGTGAACAACTCCGACGTCGTTTCTACCCCTTACTATATTAATTTGATTTCTTCCAAATTACGGCCATTATTACCGTGGGCTTACAAAGCCGGACTTTTTTTTTGTTTTGTTTTTTGTTGGTAATCTTCGGCTTGCCAAAACCGATAAAGGCCTTCCTTAATAAAGAAATAACGGTACATCATTGCAATAAATACATTGTATATGTGACAAATTCAATACAATTATGTTCTTTGAAATATAGGTTATAATGATTTAAATTAGCATTTTATTATTATTTTATCTTTAATTCATTTTTTATTTATTACAAGCATCCTTATATTTATTTAAATAATATAAAATATATGATATACAAGTCGTATATAGTATTTATGATTTTATTTAAAATTAATACTCAAAGCTTTTTTTTCCTTTCTTCTTTTATTTCCTCCCCTCTCTCTCCCCCACGACCACCCACCCTTCCCCTCTCCCCATCATCAATGACCTTCCTATATCTCTCTCTCTCTCTCTCTCCTCACCGTAAAACACACCCAAAACACAATAAGATTACCTATCTCTTTCTAGTTTGAGATTAGTTGCCTAAATCGATTTTCAACTAAAACTAACACTACCAATCACCATCACCACCCATATTCTACACTTAAAAGCATATTGAACTCTTTCCCTCTATTAATTTGATGTAATTTATATTAATATGTGTTAATTTAATTTCATATAATGTTACATTTTGAATTAGGATTTTTTTTTGAAAATTTTAAGGTGTTTTGTAATTAGGTTAATTAAATATAGTTTGAGTTGGTATTTATGTTATTTTGTAAAATAATCAATGATTTTGGGTTGTTGTTGTTTGTGAATTAACAAAATTATTTTGTTAGAATTAATGTTGATTTAGGTTAAATCATGGATCATATCGAATTAGGTATAAAATAAGGTAATTGGCTATGAAATACATGAATTTGATTGATAAGTTTGTTATAGTAGCAAAATTTAATGAATGTAAGTATTTATTACTTAATTTGATGAGTTTAGATTTTAGTCGAATATGTTTTCGTTATGGTTTTATTGATAAATTATACACTTTGATTAACTATAGATATTAATAAATTAAAATTATGTTTTGTTGTATTATTTGACAAAATATCTAGTAATTTAAGAAAAGTATACTTTCATGGTAGTATTGTTATCAATACCGATAATGGTAAAACTTATAATGGAGGAAGTCATGAGTTCCTAACTGCTATATTAGATATGTCTTTTAACAAGTTATCTAGAATATTATGTGATCGACTTGGAAGGAATATGTTTGAAATAGAAGTTGAAATTACTTGGAGGATGTTGCAAATCGGGATCAGTCAAGCTTGTTATATCAATATATCAGTCTATAGTGACAAAAGTGTGAATTCAATCCTTGAGTTTGCAAGGATTAATGAGATTAATATGCTAGAGCTCTACTTGAATAGTAGACCTAGATGATTAAACTCTCTTCTAATATGGAGTTTACTCGGATTCTAAGTAACTTTTAGAGAACTACACAGGCATCATAGGCAATTGTTTCATCTAGTTTAGGTGGCAATGCAAGTAGACAAATATTGGTACAGAAAATTATCAATAAGAAATCTTAGTTAGGTATAAAATCTACTCCATATTGCTATAGAGAATCCAAACCAAATGATGACAAAAATAATCATCATATCGATATAGTTGAGGTTAAGGAGGAAAATGAAGAAGAAATGGAAGATAAGAATATTGAGTTAGTCGAGCCTCTTAATCAATATATGGTTCCTTTTACTCTTGAATTTGAGGTTGTGAGCGTAGATAACTAATACAGATGCAATGACTATACTAATAAAAGATACTCACCTTTATGATAAGCACAAGGCAAAGTTATTGGTTGCAATTTCTTATGATATGAATAATAAAGTCTATTCATTATGTTTTGCTATTGTCAAATAAAAGACAAACAGTATTTAAAGTTGGGTTTTAGATTTTTTTCATCAATATGTGATTGGTGGTTGCATTAAGTTGTGTATTCTATCAAATAGCCATGCAACAATTAAGAATTTCATGATACTGACTTTTTCCAAGCCTATTTTGTTAGTAATTTCAACATTAAGTTAAAAAATATTGCATTAAAAAATATGTTATATAAGATGTGTGCAAATCCATCAAACACAGGAGTTTGACATTTTATATAAGGATTTGGTATAGACTAATGATGGTCGTTATTATGGCAATATAGCTACGGATTTACAGACTCATCATTGAGTTAGTTGAGTTGGGGTGATGTTTTAGACCAATGCATGAGTGCTCCAGTCTTTTCACGAGCTAAGACGATTATTGCGATTATTAGATATAGTTACATGTTATTATCTATTATGAGAATTATGAATAAATACATAGTTAATTTAATTTTATAAAATTTTATGTTATGTTAATTATCGATATAATTTTGCTACTTATGATCGAAGATGTTATACATTGCTTATGTAAATTGTGTTCTGATGTTGAAAAACTAATTATTTAAATTATATGAATTATGGGTTTTTTGACAAATTATTAATGGTAGAAAAACTATCTTAGGACATGTCTCTTAGTCGAGTCGTAGATAACATTTGTGACTCAATTGTCACAATTGGTATTTGCAACTTTTGAGTTGCAAATAATGAATGCATCTAGTATTTCGCAAATGTTATCTATGACATTTATATTAGAGATGCTAGCAGCAACTCGATTAAATGCGCTAGATCCCTAAATATTTTTTTGTCTATATTATTTTACCAAAAAACATTATCGTGCTAAATTCCTAAAAAACTCAAAATATTTCCTTTCTATATTTTGATTTGGACATGACATATACCTATTAATTGATTGTTAATAACATGTTGCCCTTAAACCTACACTATAAAAAAAAAAAATAGTGATGATGATGATGATGTTGCAGCATTGAAAAACCAAGTCAATGCAACATTAATAGAAGACAAAAGCAAACATATATGGATGCCTAACATGTATAGCAACAACTCATATGCAACCCTAGCCTAATTTGTCCTGGTAACCATTCTAATTTCTTAATAAGTTCCATGCACAATGAAAAATAAGATATAATGTGGGGATATATTGCAGAATAACAATTCAAACAACAACATTGCTCTTATGATTAATTCGAGAGCTTCTTGTTACTAATATGACAAATTAGATGACAATTACAATAAATTTCAATCAATTATAAATTTTTTTTATAAGTTGAAATCATAAGACAAAGATCATTACAATATTCAATGTTTATTAACTAATTGAAAGTAGATAGTGTAGAGATGGAGCAAAACATATTTGTTTTTTTAAGTGAATTAAAATGTAAAACTAAATTTGATAAAGATTATACCTAACTCATCTTGTTAACTATGTGATTTTTATCAAACCAATTTAAGATTTTTTTTTTCATATATGGGTTCCTCAATAATAAAAAAATGATTCACTATTTACTGCAATATATAAAATTGAAATATAAGGTTTCTAATAAAAGTGGTGATTAAGATATGGCCGCATCAAGAATTAAATTCTTATAGGATGAAAAGTCCATTATAATGTACTTCCCCAAAGCCTTGTTAATCCTCGTAAAGAAGCTCATCAACCACCCATAAAGAGATAGAAATATGGTAGGGAAAAAAGAGATGTAGGTTAGGGTTTTTAAAAGGAAATAAAAGAAGGTTAATTTTTAAAAATAATTTTCAATATCAACTAGAATTGAATTCCTTGAGCAAGTCAATTAGTCTCCTATTTGATTTGCTTTTGGTCATTTTTAATAAATAAAATTCCATTTAGAATTTAAACCAATACCATTAAAAGAGTTCCAAACACAATAATTGATTTAACTCTTTGAATTGAATTTAATTCTAAAAGTTCTAAATAGTCTATAAAACAATGGCTGAGATAAATCTTTAATATATTTAGACAATATGTTTATAAGTTTGCAACTTGTTAGGATTAAACTTGTTAGAAAAGTGGTTATCAAGTGGCCATTTGGTGTTGTTAAACACAAGTATTTTTGTTTGCTTTAGTCTAAAAATAATATTTGATGAAGTTGTATTTTGCT